AGAAATAAATTCGTGTCATCTGCAAACATGACTGAATTAAGTTTTAAGGATGCATTACAGAAGTCATTTAAATATATTTAACACTCCAGATTGGGCATTATTTACATATTGTTTTCTGTTTGTAAGGTAGCTTTTAATCCAATAATAAGTTTTATTAACTATTCCGTAATGTCTTAATTTATCTAAGAGAATACAGTGGTCCAATGTATCAAATGCTTTTGATAAATCAAGAAATACTCCTAAAGTAAATGTATTATTTTCAAAACCATTAGTTAATCGATTTACTATTTCAATGATTGCATGCTCAGTAGAGAGATTTTTTTGAAAACCAAACTGATTTGGGTAAAAAAAAATGTTTTTAATGAAGTAATCATATATTCTATTATAAACTACACGTTCGAATAGTTTTGAAAATACAGAAAGTATTGATATAGGCCTGTAGTTTGTAATGTCAAAATGATCATTACATTTGTACATTGGAGTTACTTTTGCTAATTTAAGTACATCCGGAAATATCCCAGAATTTAACGAAAGCTTTAGTATATGTAGGGGAGAACCTTAATGAATGGGACAATTATTGAATGGGACAAAATCAAATTTGCATAGAAGCATCTACGGTTGGCTATCCAAACTCCTGTGGTAATAAGTGTTTGACACAACCATTCAACAGACCAAATCTTTATTTATATTATGGTCTAAACGTAATGGCATTGGATGTTATTGTGTTTTGAAGAACAATAAGTAATTTTTAAAAACAATTTTCTGTGTCTGATTTTGCAGCGATTACTAAAGTTAAGGAAAATGAAACTCCAATTTTCAACACCCAAATGTCTCTACTTTTTAAATTTGTAAAATATTTTTGTTTAGGTATTACTGTTTTTAACCTGTCCTGTCATTTGTGGATATAGTGGGAAGCCTATTGAATGGGACAAAGTATTGATTATTGAATAGGACTTGTCCAAACAGCCTGATATGAAAAAAGTAGAAAAATATATTTCGGCAACTTAGTTATGGTCACACATAATTTTATTTTTAATTAAATTTTTTGTTTTACTAAAAACAATTATTCGTGTTTTTAATTTAATTTTAATATACATATATTTTTTAATAAAACTATTTTAGGTTTGTCAATATATGCAGACATTCGGCCATATTTATAGCTTTTTCGGGTTCCCTAATGGTAGAAACTACCCTTACTGCTTGACTGGCTTGAAAGTTACTTAGGACCTCTCTTCTTTTATTAATTTTTTAGATTTGTCCCATTCAATAATTTTATTTTTCCCATTCAATGAGTAGTTCTTAATGAATGGGACAAATGCCATGGTCTTATTAAACTCTCTTTTTACCAATACCCATATGAGGAATCAATTTTTTTGTTTTTGTTTATTATAGTACGAGAGTTAACAGTTATCAAACTATTTTCAAAGTGATTTTTAAACAAATTTATCAACCTCAAAAAATGCATTTTACGAAAACTGTCCCATTCATTAAGGTTCCCCCGCTATTAGAGGTTTTTTAAGACTGTGTTTGTTTGCAATAACTATATTACTAGATGTTTCATCAAATCCCAGAGCCTTTTTTTTTTTAACGAGGAAAAAGCTGCCTCAAATTCCTCATAGGTTAATTCATAATCAAGCATGATAACATTATTCGTTGGTTTAAGGAAGGTTTTAAATGATACAGATGTTGGTACTATTTTTTTTACAAGATTTGGACCAATACTTGTAAGACATTTATTAAATTCTTCCAAAGTTTGTTTTTGGTTAAATATATCGTTGTTTTCAATAACAATTCGTTTAGGTAGAGAAGGTGAATTTAGTTTTTCTCTTCCCATTATGACATTGATGATGGACCATATTTTTTTGCAATCAAATTTGCATTTGTTAATTTGATTACTGTAATATTTTTTTTTTGCATTTTTAATGAAATCTTGGTAAAAATATTTATAATTTTTGTAATTTTTTTCACTATCATTGTTTTTATTTTTCAGAAATTTATTGTAAAGTTTTTGTTTTTTTTTTGAGCACTTTATTAACGATTTATCCATCCACGGATTAGCAATTGCTTTTGACTTAATTCTTATATTCTATTGATGACAGGTTTCATTAAAGTACTCCAAAAATGTACTTAAAAAAGCATTGTAAGCTCCATTTGTATCTTGACATTTATATACGTTATTCCATGTTTGTTGTTTTAGTCATTTTGTTAATTTATTAGTGTTACTTATTTTTAAATTTCGTTTTTTTAAATGTATGATTTTTGAATGACAATCAGTCATAGCTTTTAGATTTTTTGTTTTTATGAATACCGGGAAATGATCGCTAATATCTGTCATAAATATACCGGTTTCAAATGTCGTTTCTAAATAATTAATAAAAATATTGTCTATTGCTGTTGCCGAGGTTTTTGTTACTCGCGTTGGTTTATTAATAGTTGACAAGACATACAATTTAAAAAGCATATCAAAAAAAGATTTTATTTTTGGAAATTTTGTGTTACAAAGAGCATCAAGATTTATGTCACCAGTATATATAATGTTTTATTTTCTTTCTTTATTTTTATAATCGTAATTTTGATAAAAGTTTTGAAGGTTTTTATTTTTCCACTCGGTGGACGATAAACACATCCAACTAAAACGTTTCGGTATTTTTTATTAATAATTTCAATGAAAAGACTTTCATAATTATTATTAGAAAAGCATAGTATGTTTTAGATCTGGAAAGCATACTTTTCCAAAACATAAATTCCTAATCCTCCTCCTCTGACGTCGAACGTGTAATTTAAAATATTTAAAAATTCTTTAAGTTTATCAAAATTTTGCTGCATGCTTCTAATGTTTATGTGTAATACAGAAAATGAACAATCATCTGTTTTTATTTTAAAATCAAAGGGATCAATATACGGTGTGTTAATTAAGTTGATTTGAGTTTCTTGAAAAATATTTATGTTTTCTTCAGATAGATTATTCATAAAGTTGTCCTCAAAAAGATTTAAATTTAAATTATGAAAATTTAATTTATCTGAAAAAAGCGACGCCATTTTTTAGTTTTTTTTTTTTGAAAATGACTAATTTAAAAATATTCAATATAATTAAAAAAAAATACTCAAAATGCTTACTTGTTGACGCATGTAGGATTAACATCTGTGTTGCGGGTATTTTCTCGAAATTTGTGAACAATAAGTTTGTTGAAAACAACTCTCGTAAAATAGCCATTTTGACGATGAATCTTCGCCTGATCAAAAAGTTCTTTTCGAATTTTTCAAGTTGTAAAACTAAAATCTTCGTTTAAAAAAATATTGGTTTCTTTTAATTTAACTGCTCTCTCCATAATTGATTTTTTATCCTCGAAATCACGGAGTTTCAAGACGATTATAAAGACGTTTAATTTTGACTAGCCTCTAACAATCAGTCATGCATGTATTTTATTCATAATTTATCTCACATGTAAAATACCCATAGCTTATCTATAACCGTCAGTTTAGAGATAAGCTATGGATGTTTAATTTTGAATATAGTTGATAAACAAAATAATATAACTTTTGTTTACTACATCATATACTTAGTAATATTTACAAAATTGAGCAATTATATTCATATTTTATTAGAAAAAATAAAAACTAGGCTGTGCTATTAATAAAAAAGATATCAAAACTATTTAAAAAAACATCTAAAAGTACTTCAAATTAAAATATTAATATTGTAGATGAAAATATTTTTTTAGGAGAAAGCAGAGTTGAATTACCTTTGCAGCATATTAGGCAACAACCAAACAACAATAACAAACATCATGGTCTGAATCAATGGCGGACGAAGCCGGTGTAGCATGACAAATGTTCCTACCATATTTTTGTCCATTTAAAAAGTATAAGAAGAAAGGTAAAAGAAGTAAAAATTGAACTTCACCAATCAGTTATATACAACGCACTGACAGTGATTAACGCAGTATAACTTTTTTTTTCTTTATATCAAATCAAATAGGCATAAGAGGCAAGCTGAAAGTAAATCAAAATTTTACAAGTGTTGTTCCGAGCTTTGTAGTAACATACCTTTCAATAAAACAACTAGTAGTTATCATAATTTAAACTTTAATTAGATGCCACGTTTAAAAACTATCTAATGATATTTTATATACCATACCGAATTTCTTTTTTTTTAAATTTATATATTATTTGTTAATAATATTTTTAGCGTAACAAAATTGAAATTTCAAGCGATATTGATAGTAATTTGAAAAAAATTTAAAAGATCAATATAAATTTGAAAATTTACGACTTCAAATTTGATTTCCTAACTTCTAAGAATTTTAAGACCGAGCTTACATCCTATGCAATAAAAAATAACTGTTGAAAGTCTACATGCCTCAGTTTAAATATTTAAAATCAAATTCAAAATGATCAAAATATTGCTAAGTTGCTCCTCAAGTGCTAAAAAAAATGTTGTTGGTGACAACTATTCAAAACTTGCATCGAATATAATCTTTTTCCCTATCAATGGAAACCTTTTACAAAAAAAAGCGTTTACCTTGGCTTTAAACTGCAAGCTTAGCAATAATGCATGCAGCAGGTTTTTTACTCAATATGTACAAACTGAATTAATATGTACTCAATATGTACAAACTGAATTAATAGAGGCGCAAATCATTATGTAAAGAATGAATTAATGGACGCATAATTTATAGAGAAATAAATTTGTTAGCAATGTTATTTAAATATATCAAATAATTCCTGAGTGCCACTATCTTAATAAAAAAAACTATATTAGTTGTCTTCGTTATAAATGTTTGACTTACTTTGCACATTATTAGTTATATTTTCTTTAATTAAAAGTATTATGCCAATGAAGCATTTGTTAATGTAAAAATGATTAAAAAAAAAGAAAAGGTAAAGAAAATATTATTTTTAAAATAAAGAAAATAATTCATTAAATAATCACTAAAATTTATATTCAAAATTAATTACAAAAAACACTTTCTCATACTTAACCAAAAAAAAAAATTATATTAATTTTAAAAATATATTTCTACGTGTGTTTATAGGTTAATTATTGAACAACTAAAATAATTTCTCCTTCACTTTATCAAATAACAATCTTTAGGAAGTAAATGTTATTTAGTTAATTATATAGTTAATTTACATGAAAACTGAAAACAGTAAATAAAATAAAGTTATAATTAAACAGAAAAAAATTTTTCATAACTGTTTTAGCAAAAAAAAAAAAAAACGTTCAAAGATAAGATTTAATTCAAATTGGGCTTTAATAAGGCAACAATTTTTTTTTTTGATTTGTTTAAAAAAACATTCATATAATGTATTAGTATAATTTTAAAAAGAATTACATCAAAACCTTTTACTTTGTTTCAAAAAAATATCAAATGATAACCCCAAACAATCATTATTATAAATACTAGGATTTAAAAGTTTTAAATGAAGTTTTAATCCTCCGTTGAATCTCAATCTACAATAGGCTTTACTCTGATTGACAATGGTTCAGTTGTTTTTGCAGTTAGCCAAATAACCTTTGTATAATTTGCATGCTTAGGGTCAACAGAAAATTCGAATTGCAACAGCGCTTTGACCAAAAATGTTTTGATTTCAAGCAAAGCAAAATTCTTTCCAATACAGTTATAAACACCATGCCCAAAAGGAAGATAGAATGTTGCTGGTATTTCGCCTAAAAAATTCATAATGTTCAAATTAGATTAATAACCTTTCAATCTTACAAATTTAGTATTAGTAACTTAAAAAAATACTAGTATGCTACTTTCTTCTTATTATTATTTTTAATTTTTAATAAATACAAAAAACGAGTTTATAACAATAAACTAGTTTTTTGTTTGTTATTATTAAATGATAAATGTAAAACAAATTGCCATAATCAATTCAAGAGATTTGCGTCAATATATTAATATATTTAGCAAAATTAGAATTAGTATTAACTTTGTTTGTATTTTTGCAGATCTAAAAAAAAAAAAATTAAAATAAAAAAAATCTCAAACTATTTGAATATAAAATTACCAAAAAAACGCTTGACTCTAAGTATTAGACAAATTTGAAGAATAAAGTACTGAGTGTCACCGATGACGCTCTTTCTAACATATTTGTTTTGTATAATAGATCTAATAATAAATGCAAAATTTTTTTCAAAATATTTGTCGTTTGGCCATGTTGATACTTTATAAATCGGACAAAATTTAGTAAATTTGTTTATTTTGCATTATGTCATACTTTAAGAAGCTATAACTAGAATATTATTTATTTTAAAATGTTTTGTCGACTTATCATTAACAGCCAGCTACAAGTTTTATTAAAAAAATAAAAAATAATATATAACAGTTTTTTTTTTTATAGAAACAATGGTTCAGTAGTACAATAATTGTAAAAAAGTACGAACTTAAAGGTGATATCCAGCCATTATTTTGGTGAAAAATGAAAGAAAAAGGAAAAATTTGATAAAATGTTATTTAGACAAATGAACCTTTTAGAGTTTAATAGTTAAAATATTTTTCTAGAAATAACTTTAGAATATGAATAATATTCTTCCCAAACACATGATTCATCTGAGTAGTGTACATGATTTATAACTTTAAAATTGATTTTTCTCAATTTATTATTATTTTTTTTATGAGTTACAGCAGAAAAACAATAATTTCTAAATAAAAAAACATTATTTCAGCTTCAAATTTTCAGGATGTGATCATTATTAATGTTTTTAGTTCCTGAACCTAAAATAAAATGAAAAAAAAAAAAAAAAACCTTAACCTACAATTTCCATATCAAATGAGTGCTTTATCGCTAAAAATAGTTTTTTATACTATTAAGTCTGCCATTTTTGATAGTATAAATGTTTTTTTTTAGATTTTGGTTCAGGTACAAGCTCCACCAATACATTTTTCAAAATTTCAACCTTTAGTATTGATGTACTCTTAAGATATTTATGTTCTTTGGACGTGAACTTTTTTACCTTTTTTTGCTGGGTTAGCAATTACTTTTTCTTTTTTTTGCAATAATGGATACCACCTTATTGAGCCGTAACTATAAAAAAATAAAATTGTTCGTGGTTGCATTCGCATATCAAAAAATCAGCCGTGAAAAACATGTTTTAGAAAAAAAAAAAAATACAAAATTAAAATTACTATAAAAACTGAGGCCAATCAATTTAAAATAAAAACTAACTAAAAATACGTTCATAAAAATAACGACTGCTTTAAAAAATAAAACTTACGTGCAACCTTAAATTACACTCGACAAAAATCATAATAAAATATGATACAAATCTGGTTTTTTTCATTTTATATACATATATATACATATATAGTAAACACTTTACAACATCATATAAAAATTAGTATGTTAGTGGTTGAATAAATTAAGTAAAAATAGTTCTACTTATATCCTACGAAGAAGTAAGCTATTCAAGATAACGTTAGCGTTATCCCCTAGAGCAATGCATCTTACAAATCTTAATAAGATTTCTTATTAAGAAGCTTAATTAAGACTATTAAGACTTGCAAGACGTGCATGAAAACTAATATGATCTTATTAAGATTTGTAAGTTTAAGGACAATTTCTTATTAAGATTTGTAAGAAATGTATGAACTTAATAAGATATGTAAGTGATATCCTAATTTCTTAGTAAGATTTTTCAGTTATAATATGAGTTTTTAGTAAGATTTGTAAGATCTTACAATAATATTTTGAAATTATTGCGACCAAAGTTTAGTAATAATATTATTATTATTACTAAATACCACTCATATTTTTCTGTAGAGGTAGAATATTCTATTGCGAAAATACAGGTGGAATTTAGTAGAGTCGGAATACTTACAAAATAATCTAATAAAATCTTTTGGTTGGGTGGTCATTTAAGATCATATGAAATAGTCTTGCTTGAATTTGTTGTATTATATATTATATGTATTAAATTTAATGTTGAAATGACCTCTATTATTTTATTATTTAAAAAATATTTTAAAGAAGAAATCAACTTGAGTACTTAGTTGTTTTGTTTAATAACATGTTTTAACAACTAAAAGTTAGTTATTAGCATATGCTAATAACTAAAGCAATTTAGTTCTTTAATTATTTTGTTCTTGAAAAAACTTTATAACTAAAAATATAACAGTGCCACATTCTGAAATCATATCAAATTTAACTGAAAACTGTATTATATTAGAGCAAGTATATTATATAAAAAAAAAATTTGGGTATTTAAAAAAATGTGAAATTTTTTTTACAGTTTTATTATCATTAAATAACCAGAAATTATTTAGATTTGCGCAAAACATAAAGAAGTATTATTTTATCTTACTTCACATTCCGTAATAAACAGTTTCAGGAGAACTGTTGGTGTTGTTCGATTTACTCCTCTAAATTAATAGATGCAGCTGCTTGTCACCATTTATTTCAACATATATATTTAACTAAATACATGATTATATTACATGAATTTAAAAGTATTGGCTAATACTTTTAATATATATGATAACATTCAAAAATTTAGTTCCAAAACTCCTAATAATAACTCAAATAAATAATAGAAAATAAACTCATATATTTAATAACAAACAATTTCAAGAATTGAAAAAAAATGTAATACAAAAAATATTTGTGAAGAATTTTTTAAACTGTATTCAAACTACTTTAAAATTTACAACATTTGATTTCCTTTTTGTTGATCGAGAAGAAATTACTATATACTATAAAAAGATTTGCGCAAAACATAAGGAAGTATTATTTTATCTTACTTTACATCCGTAATAAAAAGTTGAAACTTTTATCGGGATTGATTTATTTCTAGCTTGTCCGCTATGTCTATATGATTTGACATAAAGAAAAAAAAAGTTATAGTGTGTTAATCACTGTCAGTGCGTTGTATATTACTGATTGGTGAAATTTAATTTCTTATGTCTTTTAACTTTTTTTTTAACGAAATGAAGTTTGACTGAGCCCTTTACAAAATCATTAGCTGTTTCCTTCTGCATACATTCCACTATAGCATCTTTTTCTACCATCTTTGTAAATTTTGGAGGAGACCTCTTCGTTTAGCAAATTAAACTAGCATGTGGACTTGTTCCACATCAACGTTGGTCCTTTTGTAAGTTAAGATTGCATCACCTGGTGAGAGCACTTGCTCTGACTTCGCTAATAGCGTATAAAAAGCGAGTTGGTTTTAAGATTTTAGTTAAAGACAAAAAACTAAAAAATAATGTAAAAAAAAAAACAAAAAAAAAACAGACAGAAAAAATATTTTGATCAGCTACAGTTTAGCACGATCTAGCCGTGATGTAGTGGTTAAAGATTTAGCTTCAGAACTAGATTTTCGTGGTTTAAGCAAACTCTGTCCTTATATCTAACATTGGTAAGAAGAAGGAATAAACTACCTAAATGTAATGTGCCGTGCTATATGACAAGAAAGTTAGGATTTCATGAGTACTAAAACTAAAAAAAAAATACAGCCTTTAATAAAGCCCAAAAACAATAGTCTCTGAAGTCTTGTAGATTTATTTAAATAACAAATAAACAATAAAAAGGATTTTTCCCTTGACTTGCTTGATGATCCTGTAAAATATTCAATGAGACACAATGAAACAAGACGCAAGAAGACAACACAAATTATCAACATTTAGAAGAAGTTAACTAATGTTCTCTAACTGTATTTTCAATACAGTTAGTTATATAATATGCCATGCATATCAACGTTCTTTAGTATAATTTATTTAATAATTAAAATATCGTGACAATAATTACAATTATTTTATCAAAAAAACAATATTTTTAGTACAAATTTTATTAAGGTAATATTAACAATGGTGGGGAAAAGACAATATATCTCCTCGGAATGTTTATTCTAAAATATACTTTTTGGGGGAAAGTTTGTCCCAGTGCATACTTTCTAAAGGGACAATATTATGGTAGGAGCATTTGTCATGCTACACCGACTTTGTCCGTCATTGATTCAGTCCTTGATTTTTGTTACTGCTGTTCGGTTGATGCCTAATATGATGCATAGGTAATCAAACTTTGCTTTTTTCTATAAAAAATGTTTTCATTTATAATATTGATGTCTTATTTTAAAGTACTTTTATTGGCTTTTTTAAATAGTGAAAATTTTTTTTATTTATAGCACAGCCTGGTTTTTAATTTTTTTAACTAACACTTTATGAATATAATTGCTCAATTTTTTAAATATTACTATGTATATGATGTAGTAAATTAAAGTTATATTATTTTGTTTATCAACTATATTTCTAAACTGACGGTTAGAAATAAGGTATGGGCAATGTACATGTGAGATAAGTTATGGTTAATATACATGTATGACTGGTTGTTAAAGGCCAGTCAAAATTAAACGTCCTTATATTAACTGACTGTTATAGGCAGTAACATAGGAAGTTCGCGAAAGTTAGGGAAGGGGGTTAAAAACATATTTTAAAAAAGTAAAAGTTTCCCTTGTGCATGATGCTGCAAAATAGATAAAAATGATCTATTTATTTAATTATTTATCAGACGCAACGTGAATACTCTAGACCCTTTTAGTAATTCATATATTTATAGAGATATTTGTAGAGTAAAATTTAAAATAACCAAAAGCAAGTGAAGAAAGACAACTATGTAATCTGATTTCTTGTCAAGAGAGTGGTAGTAGTGCATTGTTTATTGAAAGGATCAGGT